ACTATGTTGTAAATAATGGGAGAATGATAGAAAAAGAAGCAAGAACCAAATTCATGCAGATTGTTGCAGCACTGCGCTATTGTCACAAACGTGGGATTGTCCACAGAGATCTCAAAGCAGAAAATTTACTCTTAGATAAAGATCTTAATATCAAGCTGGCAGGTGAGTAATGGTGATCATGTACCGTCTGTAGTTGTAAGGCATTTGTTCCTTTTGAAGGCACTTCGTAGACTTTTACTGTGGGTAAATTTATGAAGCAAAGGGAGATTGGTTTTTGCTTTTTAATGTTTTATTTGGTTTGATTTCGTGCAATTTTGGAAAGAGGTTCTAAGGCTTGACATGGATTCCAAAGTGTGGCTGCTCCTAAAATTTTAGTCTGAATATGCAGTTTAAGAATTATTGAGGACTGTGTTTGTGTGTACCAAATTTGATGTGCATGTGATCCTTTTCAAATATTTTGTGTAAAAAAAGAGAAAAAGAGGAGAGAATTAGAGAAGGAGACGGGAGAGTGAGAAAGAGAGAAGATGAGAATGAGAGGAAGTGAGAAAGAAAGGGAGGAGAAGAGAAGGAGAAGATAAGAAAGAAAGAGAGAGAAAGAGAAAGAAGAGAGATCAAAAGAGGGAAGGAGAGAGAAAGAGAAAGGAGTGAGAGAACTGAGAGAGAGAGATGGAGAGTGAATGAGAGAAAGAAAAAAAAGGAGGGGGAGAAAGAAAAGAGAGAAGAAGAGAGAAAAAAAGAGAAGATAGAAAATTAAAGAGAAAAGGAGAAAGAGAAAAAGGGAAGAAGAGAGAGAAGGAGAGAGAGAAAAAGAGAAGAAGAGTATGAGGAAATTTAGAAGAATTAAGGAGAGAGAGAAAAAAAAAGAGGAAAGAGCTGAAAATGAGAGGAGAGAACAAGAAAAAAAAGAGAGAACAAAAAGCTTGAGGAGAGAGAGAAAGAGAGAAGGAGAGAGAGAGAAGGAGAGAAAAAGAAAGAGAGAGAAGAGAAAGAGAAAGAAAGAGAGATAGGAGAGAAAGAAAGAGAGAAAGGAGAGAAAGAAAGAGAGAGAGGAGAGAAAGAAAGAGAGGAGAGCAAGAGAGAGAGGAGAGCAAGAGAAAGGAAGAGAGGAGAGAAGGAGAAAGAGAGAAAGGAAGAGAGAGAAAGAGAGAAAGGAAGAGAGAGAGAAGGAGAGAGAGGAGAGAGAATGTGAGAAACTGAATGTGAGAGAGAGAGAGAGAGAGAGAGAGAGAGAGAGAGAGAGAGAGAGAGAGAGAGAGAGAGAGAGAGTGAGAGTGAGAAAGAACATGAGAGAGAGAGTGAGTGTGAGAGAGAGATGTAAGGTTATGTGAAAGAAGAACCCAAATGAGGCCACCCGTGAGGTGGGAGACTTCAGGGCCAAGGAAAATGAGGGGCCCCATTTGTGCCTTGAAAACGGAGGTGAGGGATCAAGTCGAAGGCTCAGAACTCGCACAACCTCACAAGCCAACTACCAGGCCTACCAGGACCATGGCCAGTATGAAGATGATACATAATGAATAAAATGCAAAATACTAAAATGAATAAAAAGAACCATATAGAAGGCACCAAAGTAAAACAAGTCAATACATAAAAAAAACAAAGTGCCAGAAGGGTTTAAGATTTACTGAAAATACACCAGAAGGGCTTAAGAAAACTAAAAGTATGCCAGGAGGGCTTAAAAACAGTAAAAAGAACTAACATCTAAGTTACAATAAGTAGAAAGCCATAAGAAAGGGGTAAAAGGTGACATGAGGAGAAGTAGGAAAGTAAAAAGCAAAAACTCTTGTTAAAAGACGAGTAAAAGGGTAAAGCATGAGTAAAAGTAACAAGTAAACGTTCAAGATAAAAGTAAGTAAAATTCAGAGTAAGTAAAAAGTAAAAGATAAAGGAGCACACATGGATCACAGTAAAATGTAAAAAAGGATAACACACGTCCAGCATAAATACACCTAGGCAAGTAAAAGGGGCAGTACAACCATGTTTCCAACTTTGTAAATCCAGGAAGGTAAATCCAAAGGGTAGTCAAAACTCAGGCAAGAGTATCCACTTTGTTTGTCTAGTAAAAACATGGGGTTTCATTGACTGACGCGGACAAAAGTGTAGCACATAAATAGAGTAAAACAGTAAACAGGAAATGTTGCAAGAAAATGTGCAAAAGATAAAACTAATAAGAAAAACAATAAAACGTTAAAAGGAATCATTAAAGAAATTATTTTAAAACAACAACAACCATGATTCATTAACAGAAATCGTAAAATAAGTTACTTTCTCTCGCTGTAAAAGAGAGATTAAAAGGATGAATAAATGAAAAGAAGCCATTAAAAAAATAAAGCTAGGCTTAAAGTACAAGAGATAAAAAAAAGGTAAAAGAAAGATACATTCGCAACACATGTGGATGTTCTGTTATCTGCATATTTTGGATAACGATGTGGATAATGAAAGAGGTCAATGCTAGTTTTATTCAAAATAAGGAAAAAAGGTGTAAATAGAAATAAAATACATGTAAAAAGAGCCAGCATTATAAAAAAATAAAAAGCGTAAAATTGAGGCTGGCAGAGGGAAGTGGTCTGGCTGTGCTCGACTTGCCTTGTGGATTATGGCAGGATGCTGGGTAGGATAGGGATAGGATGGAAGCAGGAGAGGATGGGGTTAAAGGTAGAAGGTAGGGGAAATGGGGAAAAGGAAGGGAAAAAGGAGAAATTAACTTAAGAGAAGGAAGAGAAAAAGCGGAGGAATGAAAAGAGTGTGAATAAGAGGGGTATGAGGGAAAATGTGGCAGGATACAGGGAAGGAGAGAGAGAGAGAGAGAGAGAGAGAGAGAGAGAGAGAGAGAGAGAGAGAGAGAGAGAGAGAGAGAGAGAGAGAGAGAGAGAGAGAGAGAGAACGTGAGAGAGAGAGAACGTGAGAGAGAGAGAACGTGAGAGAGAGAGAACGTGAGAGAGAGAGAACGTGAGAGAGAGAGAACGTGAGAGAGAGAGAGAGAGAGAGAGAGAGAGAGAGAACGTGAGAGAGAGAGAGAGAGAGAGAGAGAGAGAGAGATAGAGAGAACGTGAGAGAGAGAGAGAGAGAGAGAGAGAGAGAGAGAGAGAGAGAGAGAGAGAGAGAGAGAGAGAGAAGAGAGAGAGAGAGAGAGAGAGAGAGAGAGAGAGAGAGAGAGAGAGAGAGAGAGAGAGAGAGAGAGAGAGAGAGAGAGAATGTGAGAGAGAGAGAGATAGAGAACGTGAGAGAGAGAGAGAGAGAACGTGAGAGAGAGAGAGAGAACGTGAGAGAGAGAGAGAGAGAGAACGTGAGAGAGAGAGAGAGAGAGAACGTGAGAGAGAGAGAGAGAGAGAGAGAGAGAGAGAGAGAGAGAGAGAGAGAGAGAGAGAGAGAGAGAGAGAGAGAGAGAGAGAGAGAACGTGAGAGAGAGAGAGAGAGAGAGAGAGAGAGAGAACGTGAGAGAGAGAGAGAACGTGAGAGAGAGAGAGAGAACGTGAGAGAGAGAGAGAGAGAGAGAGAGAGAGAGAGAGAGAGAGAGAGAGAGAGAGAGAGAGAGAGAGAGAGAGAGAGAGAACGTGAGAGAGAGAGAGAGAGAACGTGAGAGAGAGAGAGAGAGAACGTGAGAGAGAGAGAGAGAGAACGTGAGAGAGAGAGAGAGAGAGAACGTGAGAGAGAGAGAGAGAGAACGTGAGAGAGAGAGAGAGAGAGAGAGAGAGAGAGAGAGAGAGAGAGAGAGAGAGAGAGAGAGAGAGAGAGAGAGAGAGAGAGAGAGAGAGAACGTGAGAGAGAGAGAGAACGTGAGAGAGAGAGAGAGAACGTGAGAGAGAGAGAGAGAGAACGTGAGAGAGAGAGAGAGAACGTGAGAGAGAGAGAGAGAACGTGAGAGAGAGAGAGAACGTGAGAGAGAGAGAGAGAGACAAAATAATAAAAGAAAGAGGAAGAGAGAGAAGAAAAACACACATCTATATGCCTCCTGTCCTTCATGGACAAAGTGGTTTATAAAGTTATGTGAAAACCTATAACTCCCAAAGTATGAATCAGATGAAGAAGATGAGGCTTGGAATGGTTGAGTTAGATATAGGGTTGCTCGTGGAATTATATTCTTGTGCTTTTATTATCTTTAAACATCTAGCATTAAGGGTTCTGGTGTAGTGCTTGATTTCAGAAGTTTTAATACTGTTTCCTCTTGTTTCAGATTTTGGCTTCAGTAATTTCTATACTCCTGGTGTCTTATTATCAACATGGTGTGGCTCACCTCCTTATGCTGCTCCAGAACTTTTTGAAGGCAAAGCATATGATGGCCCAAAGGCAGATATATGGGTGAGTTTTTTTTTTTCTTTTTCTTTTTTTTTTTTCTTTTTCTTTTTTTTTTTTCTTTTTCTTTTTACAGAGAAAAAGGATGGGCACCTTATCTGTATAGTTGAAGAGTCTGCAATAAACAAAGGACCTATTACCCCTTTTGATATGGTAATACTTCTGTTGGTGTCTTTTTTGGTACTTCCTCCTCCTCCTCCTCCTTCTTTTTCTTTTCTTCCTCCTCCTCCTCCTCCTCCTCCTCCTCCTCCTCCTCCTCCTCCTCCTCCTCCTCCTCCTCCTCCTCCTCCTCCTCCTCCTGCTCCTCCTCCTGCTCCTCCTCCTGCTCCTCCTCCTGCTCCTCTTCCTCCTCCTCCTCCTGCTCCTCTTCCTCCTCCTCCTCTTTCTCCTCCTCAGTAAAGCTTACTATTCAATTTTCTTTTGCAGAGTTTGGGAGTTATATTGTATGTCCTGGTGTGTGGTTACCTGCCCTTTGATGCAAATACCCTGCATACCCTACGGTCAATTGTTGTAGCTGGGAAATTTAGAATACCTTTCTTCATGTCTGCAGGTAAGATTTTAAAATGTCAGATCTGTGCATTTTTTGTTACTTTAATTTAGAGTAAAAAAAAATTAACTTTCCTAAGCAATTACTATTTCATAATTATTTCATAATTTAAGAAATTACTGGGGAATGAAAATATTTATCATAATTTTTTGTTCCATTTTGGAGAAAAAAATCTTGAAAGTGTATAGTCTTAGTTCATTAGTAAGAGGAAATCACGGTATGAAATATATAATATATTTAATCAACAGAATTTATAAATTTAATTCTAGAGACAAGAAAATGTTTATTATGAAACTAATAATGGCTCATATGTAGGTATAATCCCTAAGTGTATTTTAGTACTGTTGGTATGTTTTGATGTACTGATTGGCAGATAATACTATGGCAAAATCATATTTTCAACTTCTGTGCCCTCAATTTTCAGAATGTGAGAATCTGATAACAAAGATGCTGCAAGTGGATCCAGACAGAAGATTAAGTATAGAGAGGATAATGCAACATAAATGGATAACACAGGTATTGATACTGTTTTTTTTTCTTCTTTTTTTTTCAGGGGAAGTACATCATTATTTTTTCCCTTCTCCAATTTCATAACTATTAGAATGAGAGATAGAAAACTGATAGATCCATTTTCACATTTTCTTTTAAATGGATTTCAGGAAAGTCTTGATCCAAGAATTGATGAAGTGTTACAACATTACAATACTCCAGAGAGTGACAATCCTCCTCCTGACAATGCTCAAGTAATAGAGCACATGACACACAATATTCCTAGCCTCGATAGGGAGAAAATCCTTCAGGTAAGCTTTGTTGTTTTATGGTTTTATTTTTTTTTCTTATAGAATTTCGGTAAGTTTTGGATATATATGGAATGTATGTTCTGTTAATTGAAGGTCAATAGATTTTGCATTATTCATTGATAGGGTAGACATATGCATCATATATACCCAAAATGATATGAAGAAAATATACAAATTAATTAATTGATTTAATATATGCATTTGTTACTGATATTATAACTTGTATTACAGTCCGTGCATGGGGCAAGGTTTGATCGTATTAGTGCCATATATAATCTTCTTGAGGAACAACTGATAGAATCAGCTGCATCTTCCCCTTCGATAGCCTTGTACCCACAGCCACTCCCAGTTGTTCCCACACATCACAGAAAGTCATCCATTACCACAGGTAAAGCCAACCAAAACAGTTACATTGCATGCATTTTTGTTCTTTAGCAATGGAGAATTGAAAACTTAAGGTTAGCAAGGGTGCATTGTGAAGAATATTCTTGTTTAGGTTTATCCCCTTTCCCTTCAGTAACCAGGATAACCATTTTTCAGGTTTTGTAGACAGAAGTCCAGTGTCAGACACTGAAGAACCTGCACAAGCTGTACCACTCTTCCCCTGTTCCCCTCTTCCTCCTAACCCATCCATTGCCTACGACCCTTTCCAGGCCTCTTCCTCTTTTGAGAAGGTTAGCACTGTGTGGATAATTGTGCAATATGAGCATGTATTTTTATAGTTTGGTTGACTTTATTTATTTTTCCTAGTAGTCTTATGCAATTTCATGAAATTGTGATTGATTTCATAGACTAATTGGTATGGATTTGGCCTTTTTGTACTTAATGAGGAGGCATTGTTTTGATGCATTAATGATATCATTGTGAAAATTTATAATTTTATAAATTTTGATGTAGAATTACCTTTTCCAGTATGGTGAGCCTGATGTAAGTGGGGAATCTGACAATGATGAACCCAACCAGCGGTCTGTGGATCAGTATCGGCACTCTAGGAGACACACAGTTGGTCCAGGAGACACTCATCATGAAGAGGCAAGTGTGACTACAATATACATTTTTGCATTTATCATTGTGAAACTCTCATACTTCTGCCTACCTGCCTATCTATCTATCTATCTATCTCTGTTTCCCTTCTTCTCTCCCAAGTCGCACCTTTTATTTTTGTTATTATTTTCTGTCTGTATGTTTCTCTTTCTCTCTCCTCTTAACTCATACTCCCTCCATCCTTATATGACTTCAAAGTCCAGGTAACTTGAAATAGTAACTTCACATCCTTACATGACCTCATGACATAAATAGATGTTACGTTATAAAAAAATAATAGTCCTCGAGGTCCGTTACATTACGTCTCGCGGGTGAGACACCTGGCGTGAATGGGTTAATTCTTTGTTTGTTTATTGTTGAAACAGCTTTTCACAATAATGCCATTTTTAGTTACTCTAAGTATGTTCTTTTATATGCATTGTTACTTGTTTAGTATTATTTCAGTAATTATATATGAATTAACAAAGGCAAACAATAAATTTCTTTAACAATACTTAACAAAAGAAAAAATAGCAAATGGAATCAAATAAAATTTCAGGATTTGCTAGAGTGGTTTGTATATGGACCTTATGAGTGTAGGACAGCAGATAGTCACTGTATCATAGGTTAGACTTGGCAGTTTGAGAACCAATAATTTAGTGCTATAATGAACCATGTGTCAGGGTGCTTAACCCCTTCACGACAGGTGATGCCGATAGGCTTGAAAACAAACTACTTGAAATGTGGTGTGCGGCTGTTTTCTTCACCCATCACCATTGGGTTAAGGGGAAAATAAAAGTGCCAGAACATAGAATTGCCCCACTCTTTATTCTTTTAGTTAGGGCTGTTTCTCCTCAGTGATAACAGCCAGGGCCAAAGCAGCACACAACTGTTTAGCATTAACTATAACTTAGAGCAGGGTTGACTATACACAATGTGAAGACCTCTTGAGAGGTGGTTGATATTATAGGAAATCATTCTGGCATGAGGGTGGTCTTCCTGATAGGATGCATCCAGTCATGAGTAGGTTGAATTTAGATTACATTATTCCTGAATTATAGAAAAGACAATAACAAATGGTAAATTTTCATTCTTACCATCTTACCTTGTTAAATGACAAATGAGATTTCAGGAACTAATTGATGGTTATTAAGTGTGAAGAATTAGGGAGTGTCTCAGTATCAGTTATGCATATGTACTGCTTGTGGTCAGTGTTAAGGATAGATCCACAATTTTTCATTCTTTCTTTATCATGACTGACAATTTTCTAAGTTCAAACATATTTTGGAAAGTTTGCCTATCAGAGGGTATTGCACGGTAACCTATAGTTAGTCTAAAAGATGGATACGTTAGTCAGGGCTGATATGTACACAATCAGTTAATGAATTTTTGCTCAAGATTTAGATTTTCAAGAAAACTAATTTGATAGTCATCCACATTACCTAAGGGTTTTGACAGTGTGAGTAACCCACTTGCCATTCCTTAATCCCCAGGTGAGAGGTCAGCTCCAGTTATTTGGCCCCGGAGGATGTGTTGTGGGCACCCACCAACAACCACCAGTGTCCATCTTGCCTCAGACCAATCTTCCACAGAACCTCCCTCTGGTGCAGGATTTGCCTCCACAGAACTTCTCAACAAAAGATCAGCATCTGTTGAAACCACCTCCATGCATGGGTACTGGTGAGTTATGGTAGCATGAGAATAAGAAATAAACTGAAATAATATGATTATCTTTTAAGCTTTTGGAGTTAGGGGCTTCTTTCTCTGCTAGCAGTACTTTTAAGAAAGTGGAGATTGCTCACTTATCTTTTAGAAGATGGTGTAGTAATAGATTCACAAAAACATTAGATCATCTTTGCTTTGTCTCTCTTTAGTATTTTAGGTTTAGTATTTTTTTAGTCATCTTGTATACTGCATTTAGTTGCAGTAAGAAAGGATTGAATTGAATAGGGAGACCATATGTCATATAATAATGCATGATGCTTTTAGCACTTCTTAGTTAAAATCATGTTCATGAAACAACTAGTTTCACTTTAGTAGTTAGTACCTCTTAGGGAATATTAATTAAGGGTAACAGATGAATATTGAGTTACTGCTTTTTGTATTGGAGTATTATATATTAACCCAATCAGCACAGATGGCAAGAATGCATGCCATGCCCACTGCAATATGACTTTATTTATTGTATGTATACATAGATGGCCCTACAAGTACTTAGTCACCAAGGAGTCTGTTATTAGTCCTACTTATCTCAGCTATTTACCCCTTTTCCTTGATTTTTGGAAAGCTTCTTTTGTATTATTTCATTGTCTTAAAGATTTTAATAACAGTTTGATAATGATAATATCAATAAGAATAATAACAGTATCAATATCAATAGTATTAGAAAGAAAAATACATTTTCCTGCAATTTCTGAAAATGGGGAAATTTAGAGCACTCACTAGGGACTACTGATTGACATCTTGCTGACTGAGCTCATTGACAAAATTCACAAAAAAACTACAGGGACAGCTTATAAATCCGTAATCATTGGGTTAATACAGTTTAGGGTGCAGTGAATGCAGTAGGTGTAAGCAATATTGAAAATATGCCCTGAAGTTACTAGAGATTAGAAATAGAAGCCTCTTGGAAAGGGTCCACTTTGAAATCTAAAGATATATTACCCTTGTTTTCAGGCCTTGAAAATAGTGATGATGATGATGATTTTTTTTGTCAAACAATTTCTTGATATCAAATATTTCAATACACTGTCATTACAGGCAGTGGCTTAGGAAGACGTGCATCAGATGGAGGGGCCAATCTACAAATGTACTTCCAGCGGCAGTTTGAAGGAGGGTGGAGTCATCCTAATAGTCAAGAACAAATTACACAGGTGATTTGAGATGCCTAAATTATATACAATATATACAATATATACAATTATATACAATATGAAATCATGATATATATACTCACATCATTATTCATTGGCGCCAAGTGACTTCTATACAACTCTGGGAGATTTTAACAGTAAGGAGATGTTCTTGTAATGTCAGATAGAAAAGTTGAGATAACCATGATGTGTTTAAAGGATCCTAAGGTATTAAGAGGTTATTGAGTTGTTAAAAGTTGTTTTAAAAATCAATCTTTTAAGTATTTTGATATTCTGTTTTAGATTTTTTCTGTGTGGCATGGGAATTGCATGGAAGTTTCCTTAATTTCTGTTATTATAGGTAATACTAATGTGCCTTGATATGCTCTCTTTTCCAAGATGGGACTTGGGGTAAGAGGGATGGGTGGCCACTCGCAGCCTCTGCCTCAACAGGAAGACGAGCAAATTGTTGTGCACAAAGATGAGATTGATCCTTTAGACGTTGCTAAGTAAGTTACTGGATATGTTAAGGGATTTACCCATTGTATTTCCATGCAGGGATTCCTGTTGTTTGATTGTACCATATTTTTGCACTATGAGTCTATATTTAAGGCATTTCATGTTTCCATTACCAGAAGAGAAAAAGAAAATGGCTTCACACTGAAATATATTTAATTTAAGAGGAGTGGACACTGAAAGTAATGAAATTTAGTTGCTCTGACTGATACATATTTTTTTGAATTCCATAACTTACATAACATGTAAGTTTTGTTCTGTTCTTAAGAATAGTACTCTCAGAAAAAAAGGAGAGTTGAAAAGCATAAGATAATGTCATTGATAAATATAAACATAACCTTTTACCACATCATGTTGAAAGTAACTCCTCTTTCTAACAAGCCTACAGATATAATACCATTAAAAATCAGGAAAAAATATAACTTGTTTATTTTTCGATCTAAAGTTTGAGAATACAAGACAGATAAAATGCTATACATAATCCTAAAGAAATGTTGACAAAATTTTCACCTATACTTTCTTTATATTAACCCAATTTTGCCGGGCCACACCTTGTGGCATCATAACAAACCACTTGATCTGTGGAGTGCAGCTGCATTCTGCGGCGACACGCCAAAGTATGACAAGCTGGGCGTTTGGCTTGATGTAGCAAACTCCCGTGCTCAAAGTTGGCTAGCTGCCATTAATCTCCAGAGTGTAGAGTAAAAAAAAGGGATTAAAGAACCATCATGTTTTTTTGCTTAGAACAGTAATGGCCAAAAATACAAAAATATTCCCTTTGAGATATTAGTTGATTTCTAAAATGTGCATTGTTTTTGGAAGCAGATGTACAGAAATAGGGATGATTTGATAATTCTTATGCTATTATTAGGGTTATTTTTCGATTATCTATTCCTAATATATATTTGTTCTTGTGTGAGAGAATATTACTTTCTGTAGCTTCTTTGAAGGTAGTACAATACTCCACTGTTGTCCAGAAAAGATAAAGAAAAGCTGGGAAATGATCAACAATGGACAGAATAATGTATGCAGACTTTTGAGAGGGACACTACAAATACCCTCATGTATGATTTTTTTTGGAAGCATTTCCCATCACAGCTCGATAATTTTTCCCATTTTTGGCAATTTTTTTGTAAGCATCTAGTCACCTCAGAATGACAATGATCTCATATGTGTACACAATATAATGGCAATTATCATCTGTCACCTATTTATAAAGGTAGATGAAAAAATTATATCTAATGAAGAGGAGATTTTTATTTTTAACCCCTGCCTGACCGGTCACGCCGTGAAGCATCAAAACAATCCGCTCAATCTGTGGTGTGCGGCTATGTGCCGTGGCGGCGCGCCAAAGCGCTATGAGCTGGTGATTCGGCTTGATGTGCTGAATCCTGTGCTCAAAGTCAGCATGTAGCCATTGATCTTCAGAGTGTGGAGTTTTTTTTAGTTTTCTTCACCTGTCATCAAGGGGTTAAAAACCATTATTATAAGATGTGGATTGATTGTTAATAAGATATCGATTGATTGTTATATCTGAGTGGCATTGCATGTCCTGCAGGTACATATCAGGCAGAGGTGGTAGTCAGAGAGCCACTTTGCCTCTGGTGGGACCAAAAGATGTTCAGGAGGCCCAGAGAAAGATGACGCCCAATAGATCACGGAGAACAGGCCTTCTCACTGTAACTGAAAGACCCCCTGGTAAGAGATCTTGGAATGCTCATTGGTTTGACAGTGTTCTTGTCATTAGGAGTCATCCTAAGAGGAAAAATGAAATGATTTTTGTTATGTTTGATGTTTTAGAGATCTTGTTTTTATATGCAATGAAAGGGCATATATATATATATATATGGGAAGAATAAGAAGAATATATCTGGATAAACAGAAAGAAAACATTAAAAAAGGTCTTTTATTTTAGATTTCAATTTTTGTGATTTAAACATAACTGCTTCTTGCTTTCACTCAGTATACTGCAGCAATGTCATAACATTTTCTTATTGTATGAAAGATAATTCTTGTCTCAATGTCAGTTGGACAAGGTCTGAAATTTGTAGCACCATGCAAATTAGCTAGATTTGTTACCAGTCTTATATTGTTATTTCTCCCAGAACTTGAGGCAAGTAAGCTTGCAGAATGGTCACTTGGTCCAGCAATTACTCTTTCTATTGAAGCAGACCAGCAAATATATTGCTCTTTCATTAAGATTTTGTTTGACTCTCTTTGTAGCATCACTTGCTAGTTTTTTTTATTAACTTTCAGAGATTCAGTTCAGTTATGTATTTCCTTTTCATTCAGTTTTGAATTTTGAGACTAATTAATTTTATTCAGTACTGCTTTGAAATGCATTTTTCATTGTATTTTGTAGTTATTAACTTCACATTATTGAGCATGCAGCTGAACTGTGGTGTGTAGACTCTTTTAGTACCAATAGTGCATGATTGTGTTAATTTATATTTATTTTATCTGCTACTTTACACTTTTTTATTATCATTATTATTTTATCTTTTTTTCAAGTTTTACTCATTTTGTTTGTTCTTTTTCACCTACCTAATCCTCCCCCTCCTGCCTGCCTATGATGCCTGCGTGATGCCATTTATTTATTTGCTGACTTGCCCCTTTTATTTTTGTTAACTTTGCTTGCTTGAAAATTGCACATTTTGTATCTCGCTTATATGGGAAATTATTGTTTGTATTCCCACATAATTAACCATTATCTGGAATTTTCTTTTCATGTCATGATGTGAATTTAATTTATTGTAAATATTTTTTTTTTCTTTTTTTTACCGATTGGATATCTGTACCCACAAATGATCTCCAATATATTAATGGCAACCCCACATCCTTATGCCTGGTTATTTAATAGTAATAACTCCAGAACTAAGAATGGAAGTAGAGGAACGTATGAAAAGACCCTACGTTCCATCTCATCTTCAAGTGCTTTATTCCAATGCATCAATGGGGAATACTCAGTTAAATCCCAGCCAAGTCACAGGGGGCATAACAACTGGCATCCCTCCATCATCAAGTGCAAATGCCACTATTACACCAGGCATCGTATCAGGCATTCCCCATCCCCACACCCCCAAAAGACCTCCGAATCCTATTCATCAACCGCACAACCTGTCGGGCCATCCTTTCCTCAGCTACAGCTGCTGTTCCACATCCCTTACAATGTCCTCATCCTCTCCTTCGTTTTGTTCTCATGCGTCCTCGTATTCCTCTCCTAATTGTACATCTTCTTCTTCCTCCTCATCGTGTTCCTCGTCCTCTTCTTCCTATTCCTCCTCCTCCACTACCCCAGGAATAATCTCAGGTATCCCACCCCATAACAACAACAACATCAACAACAACAATCCCAGGCCAAAACATACGAGAAAGAGAAAGACCGGCCTTGCCACAGTCTTGGAAAATAACAGGCTAGATTCGTCAACGCCAGATGAAACAGGTTGCGTCATAGTGGGTAATTATTATGGGCATTGCTAGTATTTTAATGGGCCAGTAAAACAAATTCCTTTTCAGACAGAGTTGGAGAATGCTTTCTTTTGAATGGAAGCTGGATTATATCCAATTTTGTGTAAAATTTTTAGGAAAGTGTAAATACTTAAAAATTATATTAGTCAATTATGATATATATCTGAGCTCTTATTTTGTCAAATTTGGGATTATATTTACAATATTTGTGAAAGGGTTTTATAAATGACTTGTGGAATAAACTATTTAGTGAATTTCCCATGCTATTTAAGAAATTAGGTAGAAAAAAGCTTCAAGCAGTTGTATGTAGTTGATGTGTAGCATATGATAGTTGCATAGACTATGAAAACAGATCTGTGATAATGGAAAGTGATATAGTTGTTTTATGAATAAGCTGCATGATAATGTGAATGAAAGCTTGGCTTTGCTTCATTGGGCTCTGTCCAGTTCCCATTGCTTGCTCTGTTGCCTTGCAGCACATGTATATAAATACCTGACAAAAAGCATGAAGTGACATTTATTGGCCAGAGACTTTGTTGCATTTTTAACGAGTTCACTGATGGTAATATCAACAATAATGATAGTAATAAGAGAAAACGAAAACTTTTGTTATGATATTCTGACTGTAATTGTATATAAGAAGACCTTTTGAAAATAAAGTTAATCATAAATAATTTTGGTCCATTTGCAAATGTGTAATCAAAACCAAACTTTTTGCAAGTTATGGCATACATATATTTAATGTTAAAATATGAAGCAGAAGACATTTGTTACTATTTTTTTTGTGTGTGTGTATGTGTTAGTATACCTTTTTCATGTGTATGCTCATCATCAATGTTTAACAGTTTTCTCACTTCAGGGATATTTGTGTGTGGAAAAGGACATTTAATGGTGCTTGTAGTTTCTAGTTGTCTATTGTGGCCCTCGTTTAATTAGATTATACAAACATAAGTGTATGATTTTCATGTAAACACTTGCTTACTCAGGCATATATGGATGGTTACACACTTTACTATATGCGTGTGCTTACACATTCACAAGGTCATGTATGTGCACTTGCACTTAGACATTAAATGAATACACAATTTTGTGATTACTTTTTATCAACTTTATCTGGAATAGTGATGCCTTAGTAGACATTGGTGTTATATCAAGTTGTCTATTTTGTTTTATTTCTTTTCGATGGAATATGTTCATTTGGATATTCATTGCCTCATAAGAAATGTATATAGTATCTCAAAGTTTCTTGGGAACATTAATTTTCAAGTTTTTTAGTTGTATGAAGATAACTTGAGCTTCCCTTATAATCATTGAAGGTCTTTACTGGTTATAAGGACATTTCAAAGCTCCCTAGAAAAGCACATCAGAATTTTGAAGGAAGCCAGACAAAGGAATTGCAATGAATACCACTGCTGTCATAGTCCATAGGAATATAAGTAAAAGTCTTATCTTATACAAAAAAGGTTGTAGGTGTTCAAAAAATAAACACAGTTCATTATATTTGTCATAGGGTGGCTTGATAAGTGTTCAACAAAATAATTGAATTGGGGACAAAGAAGTGTTTTAAGGTGTTACGATATCTGAAGAAGTATTTATTACTTCTTTATCTTTACGTATCAGTCCATTAGCAGATCTTCCATGCCTTTGAGCTTGAAGAGATATGTATTACATTAATAGATTAAAGTTGAGAAAAAAGGTTATGCTAATAAGATAAGCTTGGAGAGAATGAATGTCTGGGGTTTTCTGCAGTTACTGGAAAGTGCAGAGAGGTTTTATTTACTAATGATAATATGACTCAAGTTATGGCTTACGAAAAGAATTAACTTTGAATGAACACTCTCTCCAGAATAGTAAGAGAGTAATTTACAGTGTTAACACCACTGAAGTAAGGTCAGTCTTAACCCTTACACTGTTTTCCAATTTCAAGCTTTCACTTCTGAACAGAGCATAATAATTAATGTTTTCGTGTATGTATACGACATATGGAATATAAAATGGTATGAGCCACTTATTTTAGTAAATAACTTTATCATTCAACATTTTGATTTTACTTTTGTCACTGAGCACTTTATAGAAACAGTGATTGGGTCAAGAGGACATGGGTTAACGGTAACAGAGGACTGCATGAAATTTTAAACTGTATGAATGAATGTCAAGATAGCAGTGGTTTCCAAACTAGTTTTGTTGAGTATATGATGGAAAAGTGCGGAGTCAGATGGTTATATATTTAATATTAAAGAATGTTTCGATATTTACAGCATTTTTCACATTATTCTATTCTTAAGCCAGTGACAATTTGTCTCTATAATTATGTAACTGACTTTGATATTCATTGGAAACTTTAATAATTTCATTATATTCAAAAGTATAGTTTAGTTAATTTTTAATATTTTTTCTGGTATGATATCATTGATTCTTATTAGGGTGAAAGGTATAGAGAGCTAAGTAAACAATTTTGTTTAACCCCTTCACGACGGATGACGCCCATAGGTGTGAAAACAAACTGCTCGAAATGTGGCGTGCGGCTGTACGCCGTGGTGGCGAGCCAAAGCGTGGCGAGCTGGTGATTCGGCCTGATGTACCGAACTCCTGCACTCAAAGTTGGCACGCTGCCATTGATCGCCAGAGCGTAGAGTTTTTTTTAGTTTTCTTCACCCGTCACCATTGGGTTAAAACTGTCTAACTATATGAGAGCATATTACTTTTTTAACCCATTGGATCAGGATGATTCACTGCCATCATGTTGCCCAAATATAAGCATTAGGCTTACATGAGCAGCCAATCTGATGGGTGTGTGGCTTGCAGGCTGGGCATACATGAACACTTGTGCGCGGTGACAAGACTCTATGGTTCCCCTTTGCAATGTTTATTTCCTTTTTTTCTACATAAGCATTTTTATTATTTTTGCCATTTTCCAGTGTTTATATTTGTCATTTGATTTGATTTATCCAGATGACATTAAGCTATATGGAAATTAACTATATCAATATGATATTAAACAATAAGTAACATATTGTTTTTGGTGTAATTTTAAAATATTTTTTGTAATATAATTGTCCTCCCTGGAGCAGGTGCTCTTCCAGTCATGGCTCATGGACAGTACATTCCACACTTGTTTATTGATTGGAATAATATAAAAGCCCCTTCCTAAATGTTTATTTACCTATGGCAAATCTTTCCTGTCACTTAGGCCTTCAGGTGAAATACTCATGATGCAAGTTTGTGTCACCTCAGCCCATAGCCAAATTTTTTCATGATGTGATGGTCATGTCATCCTGATCATAGGGGTTAAGCATATAGGTATGCTCTTATGAAATCAATTTATTGTTTAGGAAATTGCCACTGTGATTTTGGAAGCCACAGCTAAATTGGGAATGATAAAGGCCTGACACTTACAAGAACATGATAAAGTTTAAAAAAGTATGTTAAAAACTAAAATGTAATAATGAATTAAAAGGTCTTGAATACTAATGCAAGTACAGACTTAAAAAGTAGTGAAATAGGTAAAAGAAGAAGAAAAAAATGGCAGCCGCATAGCAGCGAAGACAGGGAGAGGGAGAAAACAGCTAGAGACAGCAGTGTTTGATTTTAACAGTGCAAGGCATTAGTGAGAGACATCAGCGTGAGGTAAAATATGAATTTAAGATTTGGTGTTGAAGCCATCAGTCAATTACATATTGCTTGAAAATATAGTTTAGATGATAATAACCTGCATGATTTTATCAGCTTAGGAAATATTGTTCTTTCAGTATTAACTGTAAGGTGAGCTTATATAGATGATATTTCCTGGAAAGGTAACTTTCAAGGTTATTGTGTATTCTACATTAAGTAGTACAGAATATCTTTTCTCTAAGGAGCATTTAGGGAATTGATATAAAAAAATAGATTATGTTATTATTCTCTAAAGTTGTCAACTTTACTTGATTTGATAAATTGATGTTGTCCTTATTTATTGTGTATAGTAAAGAAGAAGAAAAAATCTAATGGTCAGAATACTACTTATAGCGTTTGTCCTGTAGTCTGCATGATATATTTCAGGGGTTCTGATGCTGTAGCTGTGAAAGTAGAATGCTGTTACGTGATCAGTTATTTTCTTTACTTTAAGAGTCATAGTTAGAGTTGTTATATGATAAGTTAATTCCAGATTCAATGCATAGGATCAGGTACCTCATAGTGATATAGATTTTTATTGATATCCCAATGAGATGGAAGAATGTATGTCATCTTACTAGATATATATCATAGTAGGCGTAATTAGAATATGGTATATTGAAAATAAGAAATCTCAAGTAATTCTGTCGGTGAAGAAGGTCTATAAAAAGTCTGAAATGTAAATCTAGTCTTTCTC